CTAAAGAGGGAATGCCATCGGGCATCATTCATGTCACTGAGACGGAGTGCGTAAACTCTGATGCTTTACACCAGACACATTCGTCGTCCGTTGACGTTGATGAGTGTGTGGCTTTATCGGATAATGGGCAGTGTTATCGAAGCTATAAACCAATCCAATAAACTTGGTATAACGATCCTATTCAAATGCAAATAAGAAAACCAAACAGGAATGTTTGGGAGCTCTTACATTGATGTAATACCTACTTTCTCAACATTGCATTGCTAAGCCTTGGTAAAAAACGTTTCTTGAGTGAAAGTTTCTAGTGAAAAGAATCAAGTCAGCAGAACGTTTGGTACTTTAGTGATTGAAATAGACTATAAGCTTCGATTATTTTAAGAATCCCACTACACAGTATATCCCTAGAAAACTTTCGTAAGCATCATCATTAATCATTGCTAAAAACAAGCGCTTAAAATCACGCCAATGCGACACTAATTACAGCGGAAACCGCCACAGGGTCTATTTGTCAAGCCTAATTGGCTCACAGATTTGTGTATTTTTGGCCTTTCAAAATAGCTTTAATTGAGGAGTATTGTTTATTACACAAGGTGGCAGAGCAGTAAGCTCTATATCAGCTCCATTCCGAAATAAACAGTTCGTGCCTATTGATAATCAAAGCCCTGACTTGTCTCTGACACACTTTGTGAGGACTAGACATCGTAAAATAGAATAAGAAAAGAACGAATGTAGCTGTTAAACCGCTACCGAGGTTATTACACGCTAAACTAATTTCCTGTTACCGCAGGAATATGTCAGTCTTCAGTTTGAAGCTTGCAGACTTTGTGGGACATGGCCAAGACAGTTATTAATCGTTCAATAGGTTTCTTGGGTTGTTCCGTGGCATTTAGCCTGGGCATAGTGAAATGTATCCATATACTATTAATATACACACTTGCAAGCTGGATATATTGTCTCATATCACATGCCAGAATAAAGGGTCGGAATCATTACTGGTATATATAGTCTGATATCACATGCCAGAATAAAGGGTCTGAATCATTACTGGTATATATAGTCTGATATCACATGGCAGAGTAAAGGTTCTGAATCATTACTGACGTGTACAGCCTCATATCACATGATAGAGTTAAAGGTTCTGAAACATTACTGACGCATACAGCTTCATGTCACATGATAGAGTAAAAGGGATGAATCATTACTGACGTATACAGCTTCATGTCACATGATAGAGTAAAAGGGAGGAATCATTATTGACGCATACAGCCTTAAATCACACGATAGAGTAAAAGGGATGAATCATTACTGACGTGTACAGCATTAAATCACATAATAGAGTAAAAGGGAAAAATCATTATTGACGCATACAGCCTTAAATCACATGATAGAGTAAAGGGAGGAATCATTACTGACGTGTACAGCCTTAAATCACATGATAGAGTAAAAGGGATGAATCATTACCGACGTATACAGCTTCAAATCACATGATAGAGTCAAAGAGAGGAATCGTTATTGACGTATACAGCTTCATGTCACATGATAGAGTAAAAGGGAGACATCATTACGGACGCATACAGCTTCATATCAATTGACAGAGTAAAAGGGAGAAATCATTACTGACGTGTACAGCTTCATATGACGATAGAGTAAGAGGGAGGAATCATTACCGACGTATACAGCTTCACATCACATGATAGAGTAAAAGGGAGGAATCGTTATTGACGTATACAGCTTCACATCACATGATAGAGTAAAAGGTTCTGAAACATTACTGACGCATACAGCCTCGTATCACGATAGAGTAAAGGGAGGAATCATTACTGACGTGTACAGCATTAAATCACATGATAGAGTAAAAGGGATGAATCATTACCGACGTATACAGCTTCACATCACATGATAGAGTCAAAGAGAGGAATCGTTACTGACGTGTACAGCTTCATATCATATGACAGCGTTAAAGGTTCTGAAGCATTACTGACGTGTGCAGCTTCATACCACATGATAGAGTAAAAGGGACGAATCATTACCGACGTATACAGCTTCACATCACATGATAGAATAAAAAAGGGAGAAATTATTACGGACGCATACAGCTTCATATCAATTGACAGAGTAAAAGGGAGAAATCATTACTGACGTATACAGCTTCATATCACGATAGAGTAAGAGGGAGGAATCATTACCGACGTATACAGATTCTTATCAAATTAGTAAAGGTCTGAATCACTACTGGCGTATGCAACCTCATATCACATGGCGGAGTAAAGGGTCTAAATTATTACTAATGTATACAGTTTTATATTACATGATAGAGTAACGGATTAGAGTCTCTACTGGTGTATACTGCCTCATAGTGAAGGGTATGACTCATCACTGACAGATACAGCATCATATAACACGAAAGAGTGAACGGGAAGGAACACAGCACTTATGTCAAATGACAGAGTAATGTGTCTGAATCATTATTGGTGTATACAGCTTCATATGAGTTAGTACAATGAATAATTACTGACGTATATGCAGGATCATATCAGATGACCGAGTAAAGTGTCTGAATCATTCTGAGTGAATCATTTTCATCACAACAGATGCCCGAGTTAGAGTGAGAGTGATTTTCGCCACTTGTAACAATATTCGAGCAGCTGAAGGCGGCGGAAACAAGACATAGGCAAATTAAAAAGAGAAGCACTAACTGAAAATTATAGTGAGTGCGTTTAGTTTCACGCCGCACTCAGCAATATTCCAGCTGTATATATGGCGGCGGTCTGTAAATAATCGAGTCTGGGCCAAACAATCCAGTGATCAACAGCATGTGCATCGATCTGCGCAATTGGGAACCGATGACATGTGTCAACTAAGTCAGCGAACCTGACCACCCGATCCCGTTAGTCGCCTCCTACGACAAGCATAGTCGCCTTTTGTAGACCTATTCTACCCCGGATATTCACGGGTCCTGAATCATTTCTGACGTATACTGCATCATATAATATAATGGTGTAAAGGGTCTGAAGTATTACTGGTGAGTGAGAAAACGCGTACGGTTCTATTCGGTACGGGTGTATACAGCTTTATACCACATAAAGGAGCATATGTTCTGAATCATTATTGGTGTGTACGTCTTTAGATTACATGAACCAGGGGCTTAATCGTTACTGCCCCATATTATATATTGGCGGAAATGTTCGAATTATTACTGCCGTATGCATCCTAATACCACATGAAAGAGTAAACGGTCTAAATCATTACTGATTTACACAGCTTCATATCACATGATAGAGTACCGGGTCTGAATCATTACTGGTGTATAAGGTCGCCGTAAGGGTGTGTATGATTGCTGGAGTATATAGTCTCGTATCACATCACAGCGTAAAGGGTGTGGATCATTATTTGTGCGTACAGCCTCTAATGGCTCAGTAGAGGGAAGGCTCTGGATAAGTACTTACGTATACAACCTTATATCACATGGCAGAAAGAAGGGTACGAACCAATAGTTCACATAACCTTATATCACATGAACGAATGAAGGGCCTCAGTATGTCTACAGCCTCATATCACATAATGAAGTACGTCATGACGTATAGTCGATAACCTCATTCCGGCTCAATTACACAGCTAGCCGAGTTGACACCCAGTTGGCTGTTAGGTGTATTGTAGATCGAATCTTAATGATTGAACCTCATGACAATGTGTAAAATAGTTTGAGACGTGTTTAAGTATTGAATCAAATTAACCGCCGACTGTTTAGTGCCCTAGCGTCCTGTGCACAAGTAATACGATTCTTTGAAGACAAGCATGAAAAGATTTCAAATTTGATTTTAGACATTAGTTTTGCCTAAACAATTGCGAGAACAAATTGCACAGACTTCTTCCTGATCATGAATTCTGTTTCTTGAATTATTTATACCATAAAATATAAATATTATACCATGAATACATGCAGTTGAATCACAGCCCCTGCTTCAACCTTCCATTGTCATTAATGAGTGAGTGAGTTCAGTTTTACGCCGCACTCAGCAATATTCCAGCTATATGGCGGCGGTCTGTAAACAATCGAGTCTGGACCAGACAATCCAGTGATCAACAACATAAGTATCGATCTGCGCAATTGGGAACCGATGACATGTTTCAACCAAGTCAACCCGATCCCGTTAGTCGCCTCTTACGACAAGCATGGGTTACTGAAGGGACATTCTAACCCGGACCTTCTCGGGTTCCATTGTCATGATACACAATCGGTACCTGGTACAGTCCAAGGCCACTTAAATACCTTGACAGTTGTTAGAGGAATTTGATAATTTTCATTTTGGTACAACGTAAACGTGATAGTAATTATTTCGGAAATAGCATTCATCACAATATAAATGAATCCGTTCAGAATTGATCATTTACATTCAGGGTGTCATCTTCATGAATATTTGATATTACATTATTCCTTTCGATTCGTTCTTCACGTGACAAGAGGCGATGGGTTAGACGAATGGTGTGAAAGTTAGAGAGTCCGACCGTAACGTAGATTGCACTTAATGACCCCATTATAGTCGTACACACAACTCAAGAACCTTCGGCAGACCATTATCAGTAGCAACAGGTTCCTAAAACGCCTAACTCCCATACACATATTTAAATGTGTGTGTTCGATCAAGTTGTTGAATTGTGAACTGCTAGCTTTGTGGATAAAGAATTGCAAAGTCACACCTAACATATGGGTTTGAACACCAACATATCCATGTGTGAAACCAGTTCTTGGCGTCACCTGTTGACATCTCTTGAATATTGCCGAAAGCGGCACCAACTGTCACATAATGCTCATTAACCATCTCCAACCAAGTTAACACATACTTAAACCGTAATATTTAGAAATATGAAATTCACCTGCAAGAATTATTAATCAAATAAGTAAATGAATGTATGCCTTTTACGTGACTGAACAATTTCAACTTAAACAAGAGACTGACTTAAAGTGTACGATGAACAACAGAGTACAGTGTAGGTCCTACCTGTATAGAGCCGTGTAATCACCTAGCATCCAAGTAACATAGCTGCCACAGCAACTGGCACCAACCCTCTGACGATGCTGCCAGCTGCTCTCGCTCTAACTCGCTATTGATCGGCCACCTTCTGTAATATTATTCGCGCGTACCAAGCTGTGCTCAGATTGGCCGACGACGCTTGGTTGTCGTCCATTTAGGCGGACTGTTGTCGTAGTCTATTTGAATGAAGAACGACTAATTTAGTCTCCGTTTGTGTTTGTGCTCCGTTGTATCCCGTAGGTCGAAGGAGGAAGTAAGGTCGAAAAAACAGAGTAATGTTTCGGAAAAAAAACCCCGAGTAGTGTTTTGTTGTTTGTTGATATGATAACTCATGAAAGAAGATTTCAGAAATACGTTTCTAAAATATGTTCTTTACACAAAATGTGCAGAATTGGATCGTCTTAAAGCACTAATACTTTCAAAAGAAATGGCTTAAGGGGTAAAATACATGTAACATTGAACTGGGTAGGTTCAGGTTAGTTCGTATCGATTCGTGTCACAAAGTCTAAAGCAATATGAAAGTTATATCATTAAGCGGGACACCAGACACTGGCTATATATTCTTAACGTTCTTTCATTGGGAATCTGGTCCCTGGAGTGCGGAGTCGGCGCGTTCATATCCACAAGGCCACCACACCTGGGATATCTCTCAATGTGATCAAAAGAGTTCGAAAATAATCAATGAATATATATATATATATATATATATATATATATATATATATATATATATATATATATATATATATATATATATTTTAAGACATGAATATATGTTTTTGGGTCAAAGAAAAGTCATATAAATAACCTCCTGTTTTTTCATTACGGTAAAAATAGCAAACTTGTATGGTTATTGGGAAAAACAGCTGTCAGTATTGATTCACGACACTGTACAGAATGTTCACCACTCAGTCCGTTCTGTAGACACGACCTACCGCAGTCCGTTCTGTAGACAAGACCTACCGTAGTCCGTTCTGTAGACACGACCTGCCGTAGTCCGTTCTGTAGACACGAACTACCCTAGACCGTTCTGTAGACACGATCTTCCGTAGTCCGTTCTGTAGACACGATCTATCGTAGTCCGTTCTGTAGACACGACCTGCCGTAGTCCGTTCTGTAGACACGACCTAACGTAGTCCGTTCTGTAGACACGACCTACCGTATTCCGTTCTGTAGAAGCGACCAACCGTAGTGACCTGCCGTAGTCCGTTCTGTAGACAAGACCTACCGTAGTCCGTTCTGTAGACAAGACCTACCGTAGTCCGTTCTGTAGACACGAACTACCCTAGACCGTTCTGTAGACACGATCTTTCGTAGTCCGTTCTGTAGACACGATCTATCGTAGTCCGTTCTGTAGACACGACCTGCCGTAGTCCGTTCTGTAGACACGATCTTCCGTAGTCCGTTCTGTAGACACGACCTACCGTAGTCTGTTCTGTAGAAGCGACCAACCGTAGTGACCTGCCGTAGTCCGTTCTGCAGACACGACCTAACGTAGTCCGTTCTGTAGACACAACTTACCGTAGACCGTTCTATAGATACGACGTAACGTAGTCCGTTCTGTAGACACGACCTACCGTAGTCCGTTCTGTAGACACGATCTATCGTAGTCCGTTCTGTAGACACGACCTGCCGTAGTCCTTTCTGTAGACACGACCTGCCGTAGTCCGTTCTGTAGACACGATCTATCGTAGACCGTTCTGTAGACACGAACAACCGTAGTGACCTACCGTAGACCGTTCTGTAGACACGACCTAACGTAGTCCGTTCTGTAGACACGATCTACCGTAGTCCGTTCTGTAGACACGTCCTAACGTAGTCCGTTTTGTAGATACGACCCACCATCGACCGTTCTGTAGACACGACCTACTGTAGACCTTTCTGTAGACGCGACCTGCCGCAGTCCGTTCTGTAGACACGATCTATCGTAGTCCGTTCTGTAGATACGACCTACCGTAGTCCGTTCTGTAGACACGACCTGCCGTAGTCCGTTCTGTAGACACGATCTACCGTAGTCCGTTCTGTAGATACGACATACAGTAGTCTGTTCTGTAGACACGATCTACCGTAGTCCGTTCTGTAGACACGACCTGCCGTAGTCCGTTCTGTAGATACGACCTACCGTAGACCGTTCTGTAGACACGATCCACCGTAGATCGTTCTGTAGACACGATCTGCCGTAGTCCTTTCTGTAGACACGATCTACCGTAGTCCTGTTGACAGGCGAGTGTAAGAACGGGGTTCCATCTCCAGCCGCATCATACAGAACGACGTTAAAGGGTGGTACTTTTTGTCACCCTGGTGTTCTTCATTAACGTGATGAATAAGTACTAGTTCGTAGTCTGTATTCTGTACCTCAGTTCGGTATTCGTGTTACACTACAGCGTCGTTTCCCTGTGAGTAAGCACTGTAAAACCGGATAAGTACGGACTGCACGTATAGACACAGACACAGGCATTCACACATAAAATAAAATAGTTACATATATATACGTACACTCACATGTTCATACACAAACACAAACATAACAATACACACACCACACACATACACACGTATATGAACATGGCAGCTTTGGGTTTGTTGTTTAACGCCACACTCAGAAATATTCCATCCATAGGACGGGAGTCTGTCAATTAGTCTGGACCAGACACTCCAGTGATCAACAGCATAAACATCGATCGACGCAACTGGGATACGATGGCATGTGTCAACAAAGTCAGGGAGTCTGACCGCCCTTTCCCTCTTCGCACCTCTTAAGATACATGAGGTAAGTTGAACGTAACAAGAATGCCAACATGGGAAGCACTGGAACAGCGAGTTCTCAAGTAACACTTAAACTAGTAGTGACTCTCTGCAGTGACAGATTGACACGAGGCCTGTTGAGAGTAGACATTGACGCTGCTACTTGAGTAAGTGGAATGAAATTGGGTTGAACATCGCGATCGTGAGTGTTGGTGTGGGTGTTGGTGTGGGTGTGGGTGTGGGTGTGGGTGTGGGTGTGGGTGTGGGTGTGGGTGTGGGTGTGGGTGTGGGTGTGGGTGTGGGTGTGGGTGTGGGTGTGGGTGTGGGCGTGGGTGTGGGCGTGGGCATGTGCCTGTCTATGCTTATACCTAGTTATATTAGCAAACTCAGATACATATGGCAGCGTACCATGGACACTCAACTGAGATACATCAGCTGTCCAGTCGTTGTCCTATCCTCTTAATGCATGACTCCACACAGGGAACAACTGCAATTTTTTAATGTTTGTTTGAATCAAACAGAGATCAGTCCTTCTTTATCCACAACACCACGTAGAGGAAGCAACTACCAAGAATTGTACAACTCACTTTGTAAAGCCATCTGTATATTTTACGTGTTTATCACCTCCAACAAAACTTAGCGAGATCAAACGAAATAGAAAGAAAAATTAGATTATTATTGTTTCCCTCATAGAGTACATTGCTAAAATATTGATCACTCGGCAATAGTTTTTACATCAATATATACTGTAGATCGAGGCTCTTTGCTTCGGAAATTTATTTTATTAAATGTAGATAAAAAAAGATCAAGTTTTATGAATTTGCAACGGAGAAACACCTCAGGGATTAAATGTCTACACGGTTGAAAAAATCGAGACAAGAAAATTATTTTTGACGTCGGAATCAAAATATCGAGCGGGCCATAGATAGGAAACACAATGTAAAGAGAAAGCATATGGAGTATACACACGTTATCTTGCAGCTTTTATAGGTGGCAACATACAGCGAAGTACTCATTGCAGGACACACTGTACAGCATACAGCAGCATATGTTATATTTCGGATTTTCTCGATATTGTGTTTTCATACAATCAGAGCGTTAGGATCTACTCGTCAATGGGGTTTTAAGTTTCGCAGGGCCTACAATCCCAAATATTGCATCTAATATAAAAAAATAATATTGTATTCGATATGTTAGTGAGTGAGTTTAGTTTTACGCCGCACTCAGCAATATTCAAGTTATATGATGGCGGTCTGTAAATAATCGAGTCTGGACCAGATAATCCAGTGATCAAGAGCATGAACATCGTTCTACGCAATTGGTACTCGGTGACGCGTCAACCAAGTCAGCGAGCCTGACCACCCGATCCCGTTACGCCTCCTAGCATGGGTCACTGAAGATCAGTCGATATGTATTACCTTAGAATATCTCTCTTTATATACATGTTGTTAACTATGCCATTTGGTTATCATACCATGTGATGTCATGCGTTGTGATGACGTCATTTCAGTGTGAGATGACGTCATTCCTGACCTCCGGGCAAGACCTACACAGTGCATGTTTTCAGACTAAGATGGATTGTGGATGAGTGAGAGGTTCTCCGTTCTTTCAATCGACACAAAAAATCCGGACAAGCAAATACCCCCGCATCACTGTGTACGGCACAGCACAGGCTCTTGGTCACGAATGATTATCGAACATGGTGAAAGTCATTTCAGAACATACGCAATTAAACATAACTTACACCAACCATTTCGTCTGGGCCACGACTGCCACAGTTCTATCATGTTGAGGTATCGACTGATCTGCCCTTATGCTGGACCAAGCCCTTCACCTTCTCACTGTATATTCCACTGTTCTATCATCATCGGCTTCGTCTTACACTGTAATGCCGGTAATCTCATTGGCTTCATCCTTACATTGTTGTCTCTGTACATAATGATATCTAATTGGCTTCGTAATTACATTGTTATCGTTGTACATTCTCCCATCTTGCGTTGTGTAAACATGTTTTAGCTCGATATATTCACTCTGTGCACTGACTCAGCATTCACTAGATGAAGGAGAAATAATTAGCTCTGAAACGTCGTATAAAGAATAAAAAGACGTTTTGTGTGTATTTCAGCATTCCAAGAGAGCACCGTTTTATAGCTAAAGCGCTCCGTTACAAATTGAAATATAAGGTATCTAGTCAACAGTGGGATTACAGTAAATTGCAAAACACATAACAGTCTTTTTTATCGATTTTCGTTACGGCAAGGGTGCCGTAAAAACGGTACTCTCTTAGTACTCTCTCGCGTTAAATAGCTT